AAAAATGACACACCTACTACGGATCAGACAATTCATAAGGATGATGAAAAAGTAATGGTTTTCGAAGAGGATAAAACTAATACAGTTCCATTATCAGAAACAAAACACCCTATCAATGATAATGGGCACGGAGAAAAACCAAATTCCTTCAATGATTCTTCAGATTTGTGGGATTCAGGAGGTTCATCATTTTTCGACCCGGTGAAGAAATTATCTGATCGTATTGAGGACCCGAAAATTGATCATGAACATAATAATAGTGGAAAAGATGATAATACACACACTCCTTCACTCAAACCCACACTACCTCCTAATAGAAATGATGTTCATATATTAGCACCAAACATTTTAAGCAATATTAATATACTTAGTCCAGAAAAACAAGATCAAACATCATCTACAGATATTTCGAAAAACGATCAACATCCAATAAATCCAAAAGACAAGTCTATTTTAAGTCCTATTAAAAAGATGACCAAAAATGACTCACCTCCTAATACAGATCAGACAATTCATAAGGATGATGAAACAGTAATGGAATCCGAAGTGGATAAATCTAATACTGTTCCATTATCAGACTCAAAACACCCCATGGATGATAATGGTGACGGAGAAAAACCAAATTCCTTCAATGATTCTTCAGATTTGTGGGATTCAGGAGATTCATCATTTTTCGACCCGGTGAAGAAATTATCTGATCGTATTGAGGACCCGAAAATTGATCATGAACATAATAATAGTGGAAAAGATGATAATACACACACTCCTTCACACAAACCCACACTACCTCCTAATGAAAATTCTGATAATCAATTACGACCAAATAATTTAAGCAATATGAATACATTAAGTCCTGAAATAAAACATCAACCATCAACCACAGATATTTCCAAAGGTGATCAACTTCCAATGAATCCAAAAGACAAATCTATTTCAAGTCCTACTAAAAAGATGCCCAAAAATGACACACCTACTACGGATCAGACAATTCATAAGGATGATGAAAAAGTAATGGATTTCGAAGAGGATAAAACTAATACAGTTCCATTATCAGACTCAAAACAACCCATGGATGATAATGGGAAAAGAGAAAAACCAAATTCCTTCACTGATTTTTCAGATTTCTGGGATTCAGGAGGTTCATCATTTTTCGACCCGGTGAAGAAATTATCTGATCGTATTGAGGACCCGAAAATTGATCATGAACCTAATAATAGTAGAGAAGATGATAATAAATACACTCCTTCACTCAAACCCACACTATCTCCTAATAGAAATGATGTTCATATATTAGCACCAAATATTTTAAGCAATATTAATACACTTAGTCCAGAAAAACAAGATCAAACATCATCTAAAGATATTTCGAAAGACGATCAACATCCAATAAATCCAAAAGACAAGTCTATTTTAAGTCCTATTAAAAAGATGCCCAAAAATGACTCATCTTCTAATACGGATCAGACAATTCATAAGGATGATGAAACAGTAATGGAATCCGAAGTGGATAAATCTAATACTGTTCCATTATCAGACTCAAAACACCCCATGGATGATAATGGATATGGAGAAAAACCAAATTCCTTCAATGATTTTTCAGATTTCTGGGATTCAGGAGGTTCATCATTTTTCGACCACGTGAAGAAATTGTCTGATCGTATTGAGGACCCGAAAATTGATCATGAACCAAATAATAGTAGAGAAGATGATAATAAACACACTCCTTCACTCAAACCCACACTACCTCCTAATGAAAATTCTGATAATAAATTATCACCAAATATTTTAAGCAATATTAATATATTTAATCCTGAAATAAAAGGTCAAACATCGTCTACAGATATTTCCAAAGGCGATCAACATCCATTGAACCCAGAAGACAAATCTATATCGATTCCTACTAAGAATTTGCCCCAAAACGACATTCCTCCCATTACAGATCACACAATTCATAAGAACGATGAAACAGCAGTGATTTCTGAAGTGGATAAAATTAATACCGTTCCATTATCAAACTCAAAACACCCCATCGATGGTAATGGAAACGGAGAAAAACCTAATTCGTCCACTGATTCTTCCAATTTTAGTGATTCAAAAGGTTCATCGTTTTTCCACCCAGTGGTGAAATCATCTGATCGTTCCAGCGAGGGAACCACTAATCAAAAACATAATGAAAGTGGAAATGATGATAATAAAAAAATTCCTTCTCTCAATCCAATGTTGCCTTCGGCAGAAAATTTTCACAAACAACCAAATAATTTAAATAACATTAATACTATAAAGCATAATTTGAATTATAATGGAAATGGAGAAAATTATAATAAATTTCCGAATGATAAACGAAACTTTACTGAAACTGAGAAATTTTCGGGGATTGATATTGCTCATATACCTTCACAAAATTTGAAACCGATGAAGAACATTCAGATCAAAAATTCTCCTACCAAATTGTTGAATCATACTGATTCCCTTTTTGAAAATGATACGTTTCAAACTTCTAATAATGAACTAACAACCCAAGGAAATATTTTAAATAGTCATGTACTTCCCCATATACATATACATCTACCGCAACATTTTTCAGTGAGTGAAAATAAAAACAATGAACAAATTTCAAACAGAATTCATAGGAATAAGAAAAAACCGAAAATTTTACAAAACAGTTCGAAAATATTTAATGGACCTTACATTTCGGAATCTTTTAATGGATATAATAGTCTTCCAGCTGTTAAAAAAAAAAAGCATGTGTTACATGACTCACAAGAGAACATTTCGGAAATATCAGACAATAGTAGTTTATATTCTTCAAAAATTATAAGAAAAAGAAAGAGACCTATACCAAAAAATACGTCACTGATATCTCAACCATACGAGACCATAGTTACTTCTGAAAATAAGGATTTTCGTTCATATGATATTAATCCAAAGTATGATTATAATCCATATGGTTATATGATTCCTAAATTCAAAACTAAATATGAAGAGCGTGTTTCTAATGATAATTTATGGGAAAAAGTACCACCAAAGAGAAATAAATATTTCAATATTAATACAGGCATTGACCACTTCAATAGAGATTTAAGTAATAACAAAGAAACAATTGGAAATCATTTTGATTACTTGCCTAACCCTGAAAATCGTGATACAAATTTAATATCAATAAATGAAAATTTAACAGGTCACGATAAAGCTACAATTAGCAATTATAATAACAATACTAATGATAAAAGTAATGATCTTTATAATGACTATATTAAGCAAATGTTTAGCAAAATTGATAATATAGAAAATAAGATTTCCGAGCTCGATAAATTATCTAGTAAAGGACTCAATAATAAGGTTAGTGAAAGAATAACACCGAATGTTCGAAAAGTCGACGAAGATAAATCACCTAGTACCAAATCCATAGATAAACCATCCAACGAAAGTAATACATTGGAATCTAATTCAATTTTACAAAAAGGAGTTGAAACCATTGAAAGTAATAACAGCAATGCAAGTGGTGATGATAATAAAATCAAAAAATCTAAAAAATCAAATAAAAATAATAATAAAACTCGCAAGACGAAAATAATAAATAAAAATGAGAAAAAAGATAAAAAAAAGCATAAAAAACATAAAAATAATTTCGATAATGATGTTGAAATACGAAATAAAAATAGTCATTCGAAAAAGAAAAAAAAGAAAGTAGAAAACAGAAATTCGCTTTCATTTAGTGATAATAATTCTAGTTCAGAAATATCGGATGAAAATGACGAATCTGTTAAAACTTTAAAGTATAAGGTTAAACCAAAATTACTTACAAGAATTAAAAAAAAAATAAATGTATTGAAAGGAAAATTAAAAGACGAAAAGCGACCAAAAAAATATAGGAAGAGAACAAATTATGAAATTCATACAGAAGATAATTCAAGCGATAAAAATTATGATATTTCTAAAAGAAACAAAAAAAAAAATTTAGTAAAAATTAGGCGTAAAAATCAAACTAAAATGCGAAAAAAAAATAAAAAACTAAAACCAGAAATTGTAAAAGAAAAAAGTCTAAATAATCATATGATAAAAGAAAATGATATTGAAGTTCAAAAAGTTAATACAGACACTGATATGGTAAGATTTATAATAAGTTGCGTCCAGACTACATGACCAAGGCAACCGAAGTCAACGTCTCCACATTCGGCGTTAGCTGTGTTTAGATGTGAGAACATTGGTATACTGTCTAAACTCATTACGAATTCGTCGTTTATCCACGTTTGGAAGCCTTCGCTGTTTTAAACTGTGAACGCACACAATTTATTTTATATATCCGATCGGACCAAATGTTGACGAAGACCAAAATATCAACAAATCGTGTCTAAACTGATAACGAATTCCTTTGATATATCGCTCCCCGAGCAAAGGCAATCGAAGGTACATTACATTCGCCGCAGTCGTTCGTTCGATCGCCAGTCTACACCTAGACCCACATCACCGAAGAAGGTCATCACATGTGCCTTCGGTACCCTTGGTCGTCTAGTCTGGACGCGACTATATACATTTGACGTAGTTCGTTATTTATTATCAATAACAAACAATACTTTTTTCAGGATAATGAATATCAATTGGTCAAAATTTATCCTCAATATGCATATAGAAGATTTAGTTTTCCAAAGTTCTTTTAATTGGTTCTATATACATAATATATTAGTGTTTAATTTTAAATAAAGAAACAGTTAGCAATATATTTTTCTATAAGACAAGATCTACATATTTTAAATACAGGTAATATACGTCTTTCACTAAATAGGTTAAACTATAATTAAATTTACAATTTAGCTGTAAATAATGTAATAGCTACCATATTTTACTAACAATCAAAAAACATGTTTTGATTATAAATTTCTTTGAAATTAAAAACACTTATTTTTAAAGGTTGATATTTTCTTTGTGAAAAGTCAGTATATTATATATAGGGATGGCTATTTTATGCATTTACATGTTTGTTTTTCTACATCGGAAAACATGCTAAGTGAGATACAAATTGCCATATGAAAAAAAAAACAAATCCATTTCATAACAATAGCAGGGCTTCAAATCATAATAACTTTTATGGTTAATGGTTTTCATTCATCTATTATTTTATTCGGTTTTAAAAACTGATTAATTGATCTTCTAATTTATAGTTTTTTAAAACCCGGTTTCAAAGTAATAAAACCGGTTAATTTTGTTATTTTAAAAAAATATATTTTTTTATAACAATTTTATACCTCAGAAAATTTATTGTCATAATTATGAAATAATTAAATAGAAAATTCAACTATCGTGAGATATTCATAAAATAAGTTTATAATTTATATATTTATAATATATTAATACACAATAAATAATATGATACACATTTTTAATTTTTTATTAAAATATTGAATATACTAACACACGTAATGAACAACATAACTGCAATATTTACTATCGAGTAAATCAAAAAAGAAAACCCATATTAATTTAAAATTTTGAACAAATTCACAAATATTTGATACAATTTAAGGTAACACCATCGTAAGCGGTATTTTAACAATAAACAATGTGGTTTCTAGTCGTCATTAATCGTAGTCCCACTTACCAATTGTTCAGTTTTTATCTTGCGAAATATTTTATATTTTTCTAATAATTTTTACCTGTCTTTGTCATACAAAACAGGTTGACCAACTAAACAAAATGTGTAAAAACTAAAATTAAATATTAATTATTTTTCGTAATCAAAAATGTATTTATTTCCGTTCGAGAATGAAAAATATTTTTCTGGTTAACTATTTCGTTTTCTTTCTATAAAATTAGTAATTGTGGTTTCATTTTTGTTTTCGTTCATACACATTTTCCAATAAAACCGGTTAATAAAAAAACGGTTTTAATCTGTTTAAAATTCTGAACAATAGTATTAAAGATGTAAAGTAAAATAACATGATTTTACATACTTGGCACATAGTTTATTCTTTGAAGTTATTAGCGCATATGATTTTATGTAAATTCAACAAATCTATGGAAATTAAAGAAAAAATTTGATCAATAAATGTTTGAATTTTTTTTACATTTTCAACATGTTTACAAAATCTTAGTATTTTATCGGTATTTTTATTTTTGAATGACATTGGGTTTTATAAGTTAAAAGCAGTACCGTGAAAATAATGTTATTGCGCACCAACCTCCTCCTATTGACGTGTGTATTACAATCTATGAATTTATTTTCGTCACAACGTGTGTTCATTAATTATAATTTTAATAAAATGTTATCAAAGAAATAAAATATAACTTTTAAAAATATGAATGGCTAATTCTTATTATTTTAAAAAATACTTATACATTTTTGTCGTGCATAGTTTAAGATTCTTAATGCATATAAATTGCATAAAATGCATCTTTTGAAGTTTATAGTGCATATTTGAATGCATATTTCATCAAATGTAAGTGCATTATTAAATTACATATATATTTGAATTACAAAGCCGTTCTAGTGCATTCCAAGCAAAAAGTAATAAGAATTTTTATTATTCTATGATCCCAAACATTAAAATAATTTCCTAAACCCCACAAACTACACTTTTAAAACATTATAAATTTCAAAATCAGCAAAGAACAGGGGTGGATACAAGAGGAGAGCTATGGAGACTTGTACTTAAAATATTTCAAAGATTACACTAATTTTCAATTTATCGATTTAAACAAAGAGGAGCGTTAATATAATTATAAAATATTATATTGTATTGCTTATTGACATTTAGTAATGATTTATAATCATAATTATTCATATAGCCCTCAACAGTCATAACCTAGACAGTGACGATTAGAAGGGATTGAGCGATAAGTGGATCGCCCAACCCCTTGGGATTTGGTTTTCTTTAAATTTAGTATATTGTTGGTCCAACAACAACTATCTGTACATTTTTGAACTCATGATTTGATAACAAAATATTTTTCCGTTTTGACCACGGATTGTACATTATCATATTGTATATTATTATACTCTATAGGCTCATTTACTTGATGACAGTAAACCTTGACAGTCGCAGTTACGGCAGTCACTGTCAAGGAACTGTCATGGTGTAAATTATTTGGTGGTAACCACGGTTTAAGATATATATATATATATATATATATTAAAATATACTTTAAATCATGGTACTTTCATGAAACTATAATAGTACTGTCACACTATCTATCTGAGCTAGATAGTTGACAGTACTATCGGGCTTGCATGACAGTAGCTATCGTAGACTGTTATCGTGTAAACACAGTTCATTCGGAAATACATTTCTGTCATAGTGTTATCTATTATATACACGAGTCCACTATAGTTTAATCGGTTAATTTAAAATTTAAATATCATAAATTATAGTAAATAGTCATGTCCTCTAAGCTATTTGACACTATAGAATTTCTTAAAAGCTATGAAGAACATCCGTGTTTGTGAAATAAGGCCATACCAGATTTTCATAACCGATTGTACCGAAGTATTAGAAATTCCTAAGTCAGATTTTTTTACCCATTTTCTTTCACTACTTTTAGTTTTTGTTTCATATTCAAAACAATCATCTCACAATCAAACAAACAATTCAATAGTACTACAAAAATCATCCACTGCCAGTGACTATCACTATCACTATCGCTATTTAGCGTCAATGTGTATTCTGTATATCTACTATGACAGTAGCTGTCATACAATCATATGACAGTAGTATCATGACAGTACTATCATCATATAAATGAGCATTAAGTCTCGGTCACGCACGACCGATATAATTATAATTATAATAATTATTATAAGATAAATTGTATAAGTCAATTCATTTATATCTTTTTTTAAATACATTAATGTTAGTGTAAATATATAATTATTTTTTTACATTTATACCTGTAATTCGTATGAATCTAGGTCAAAATATCCAAGGACAAAATATCCACGGACAAAATATCCAAACCAAAATATCCAAGGACAAAATCTCCAACGGTCAAAATATCTAAATTTATCCGTTTTTCCGAAAATTAATACATTACACTATACTTTCTAATACAACTAGCTCAAATATCAAATTATTTAATCATAAAAAAACCTAAATTTTCTGAAAATATTAGCTTAAATATTAAATTATAAAAATTAGTTCATAAAATTAATTCAACCTATATACGCTGTATATTAATAAAAGTATAATTAATTAAATTAATCGTTATAATATGACAAAATACAGGGTGATTTTTTTATCGTGAACCAGTTAATATCTCGGGAAGTATTAGGAATTTTAAAATAATTTTTTTTAAACTTTCTAGGTTTTACTATTTTACACTGTGTACAATTTTGATAATTTTAACCTCCTCCCTTATTTGATAAAACACTATCAACTTTCGATTTTTAAATGGCAATATCTATTTTCGATAACGAAAATTTATAAACATACTGAAAAAAATAATTTTAACGTTTACAGAATTTAATTTCAGTAATCCGTTTGCGACTTATTACCGTTGAAATATTCGTTCAATTTACTGCTACTGGGCAATTTATCAAATCCTACAGTAAAAACCAGAAGTCAAAACCTTGAACATTTTGTATAACCAGTGATGTAAATTGTATAATATATATTTTATAATATTGTATTATACAGGCGTATTATACGTCATGTATAAAAAAGTAAAATACAAGGGTATATATAAAAAAAAATCAGTGATAACAGTAATAAAACGACGGAGCACGGCAACACAAGTAACATGATTATTGGTAGGTAGTTGCCGGTTGGCATCGATCATAGATAAAAAATTATAAATAATGAGCATCATTGTCCATTATAAAGAACTATTCTAGCCATAGACGATAGACCTATTAACTTAAGTTCCATGATTCTAGTCGAAATATTTGTAAATCGTAGTAATACATACGATAAGTGCTAAGTCATAAACTCAAGTCATAAGTCATAATCGTAGACAATAGACCGCAGTATAATATTATACTAAATTCTATTAATTCTATTTAATTACCTACAGGCTACAAGTTACAATTAATTGAAGTTCCTAAACGTTAGTTACTGTTTCTTTTTACTTTGGGTCGACCTAATAATGTCTATAATTGATCTTACATTCTTATTACACTTCGCCAGTTGTATATTTAGCATAGTAAACACCATAACATTTTTGTTAAATACTGTATCATACACATATATAATATATATAATACATGTATAATACACGTATTATACAATTAAAAAATAAAATACAGTATTTTTACATCACTGTGTATAACCAATACTGAACCTAGAAGGATAAAAATAGAGAATTGGTCAAATTAATTTGCTAATAAACTGTTATCTTTTTTACAACTACTAAATATTTTGTACTCTTGCCTATTTTATTACATAATGTAACTATGCAATAATAGGTAATTTTGTTATTACATTTTTTTATTAATATTTTACAATATGCATTTATGATTATAATTTTATTCGCTTTCAAAACTTCAACTTCATGACAAGGATTTAATGTACTTGAAATACATTTTTTTATTCAGCCCCCTTATTTTAATTTCTTGATCTAAGCATAGAGATTAGTAATGATTTTATAATTAGGTAATTTTTAATTCTCTAAATCTTTAATATAATAATCCTCTTAGATTTTTTTAATCTAATACAACATTATAATTTATCATAAAATAATAAAATAAAATAAAAATTAGTAAATGGTTAATCCTCGTAAATAAATATAGAGGTACTCATAAATATATATTATATATGTAGAAATAAATAAATGCTGAACCTGGAGTGTTAAAATATGTGTATTCTAAGATCAATTTCAATTTAAAAATTGTCATCTGGTAATTCAGTCAAAAAAAAAGCAATTTTTTTGATTTTGTGAATTACTTGATAATGAATTTTTGATTTGAAACCGGTCGCAGAGTACACATATCCAGTGACATCAAGCTATATTTTTTTAATGTAATAAGTAAAAAAAAAATATTACCCATCCCTTTATTAGTGTATATACAAAAAGAGAGGGGCGTAGTTCACCACACCTCTCTTAAAACTTTACATTTTTATTTATAATGAACATTCATAGATTTTATACATGCAAATAAAATTCCAGATTGTAATAGTATAAATAAAAATAAAAATTAATTAATCTTAATCTTACAATGCATATTATGCATCGCTGCAATACTTGCATGAACATAAAACATCATAAACATTATGAATCTAAAAGAAAAAAAAACTCATGATAGGAATAACATAGTAAATTCGAAACTTTTTGGCGTTCAAGTCCTTTAGTAACCACGTGACATAGCATAGCGTATAGCAGGAAAGGGCAACTGGTGGCCGCTTACTTCTTTTATCCGGCCCGTGCTACATTTTAAAATCACTTCGTAACATTTCATCGTTTATCAGTATTTAATTTAATCACGTTAATCATAAAATGTAGATACGAGCATTATATTTTTCTATAGTATTGAACTGCAGTTAAATCATTAGACTTCTAAATATAATATAAATTCATATCGGCACAGCTAACTTAGATATAGGTATTAGGCGCTTATTATATTGTATTGGTTCAGTCGTAAAATTAAAATGATAAAAATAAAAGCTAATTATCAATTTTGATGACCCTTTTTTTTATTTTTATTTTCTTCACTATAGCCCATCACATTTTAAAGTTCTAAAAATTGGCCCTATAGTTACTTTGAGTTGCTCATCCCTGGCGTATAGTATTCATATGAAAAAATAGGTAAGGAAGCAACGTATTGCGCACACTTGAATCAAATATGGACTGTTGCGATCATATATATAACGTTATTTAGGTATATCATGGATTAACTGACTAATTTTCTGAAAATTGAGTGGTATGGATTACAGTAGTCTTTACTGCTTATAGTTAACCTACTACTGATGCTCATACCGCTTACCAAGTAGTGCAGTTGCGCGAATGCTCAATGGTAATGGGTGGGTCTTGTTAATTGGCATGTACAATGTATAATATTTAGTCATCTCTATGATATAATAAAAATGATTACGTTGAATTATAATATAATAGCCAAATTTACAATAAGTGTACTAAATTATTTAGGTATTTGTGAAACTATTATTATATACAATTATTATTTGAAAGGTTGTAACTATTTGAATGTGGAGGGTGGTTACAATTATTAACTACACGGGTTAGTGATAAATATTTGGACGCCACTGTATGTAGTGGGTATACACATAATATGATTATGTAGTTCTCAGTTCTTACATAAAATAAAAATAAATTACTAAAGTAAACAATTAATACAACACCTAACACTACAACTAATATACTCAATGTTAACACTAATAGCCTGTGTGTTACTTCTTAGAAAATGCCTTTCTCTAGTTTAATAACTAAGTAATTACTACCGTAATACTATCCCAAAATTGATTTTCTATCACAAAACTAAACTTATAACTTTAGTGTTCTTAGTCCTCGAACCACTCACCCCTGTAAAAAGATGTGACGGTCGTTACACTTCATAAGGGGGTGCCACAGCACATATACTAATAATACTCTTAGCTACGAATTGATTTATTTATTTATTTATACATATATATTATTTATTTATATATTTATAATTTATAATTGCCTTAAAATTCATACAAATAAAACCGTAGGGTAAATTTGAGAGTGACGAAATAAAAATAGCATAGGTTTAACACTTAATGGTGATAATTTATTTAAGTTATGAACACTTCCTCGACCGATATATATACTCCCATTAAAAAATGTTCTTTTCAATTATTATTTATTAATTTTTTAGTCGTATATTTCATATTATTTTTAGTCACAAATTAAGTCACAAATTTATTAAATTTGCGTTAATGAGTCAAATTTATAAATGAAATACTACATTTTCACACTCATCAAATTATGTGTTTTATTGAAAATAACATAATAATTATCGAATATTTGACTTAAAACCAACCAAGGGCATAGCTAGACATTTCATCAGTGGTGGGAGGGGGGTAAACCTATCATCATAACATTTTTGTGTTATTTATTAAGTGTATTTTTAAATTTTTACAAGTAAAAATTTTTATCTTATTTTTTAATTTTTAATTATAACTTACATGGTATATACAAAAAAAAAACCGAGATACATTAAAAATATTTATTTAAAACTAATGTTTGATAAAAAAAAAAACTGTTTCATTAGGTAGAAAATAATTATTTAAATACTTAAAATAAAATTAAAAAAAATGTATTGAAAAGTTAAAATTTGAAAAGTTACGAGTATAAGGAGTTCAAATATTGGGTAATAAATGAATCAATTTAAAATATCGTTAGAAATTAATATATTTATAAGCTATGGACTAAGGAGAGGTCAACTATCCCCCTGCTCACGCCCTTGACACAAGATAATAATTGTACCACAGAACGTTATTTTTCCATTTTAAAAATAAGAAAAAGTAATTAAGATCAACTTAGTTGCTAGAAAGATTAAATTCCTTTGTCATATGAATTATAGAAAGTACGAGTAACTTAACGTTATAATTAAAATATGATGATATCATTGACGGCTAAATAAAATCTAGACAAAAAACTATTTAAATAGCAAGAAGAAAATATATCGGACGGGGAAGTAACTGCATACCAATTGATAAAGTCAATTTTAAAACTTGTTTATTTTTTTTTTTTTTATTCTAGGTTATCATTTTATTATCATCAACAAGTTTTGTACAAAACTGAATTCAAAATAAATAATTAATTTTACTATAATAAAAATGCACTTATATAATAAATGTAATATAGTTTAATATAATACTTTAATATTGATGAAGTGATTTATTATTAAAATTATAACTTTTAGAGTAAAACTGTGAGGTGTGACATTGTAACATAAATGTTATTAGTTGATACTGACAATTAACATTTATGTATTATATAATACTACAGAATGCAATGACTACAGAATATGTATAGAATAAATCAATGACAGTCAAACGAGGTTGGTGAGAAAAGGGATTCTCAAGATCATTTTTCTCAATATTTATAGATGTTTACTTATTCAAAATAAAATATGTACATTTTTTTCTGATTATAACAATAATAATAAATTGTTATGAGTTCATGAACTT